GGGAGGAAAATACAACTCCCAGCAGTGTGCTTTAACACCCTTGGGGATTCTGATGCTCTCCAAAGTTAGAGAGGGCCTGGGCTGGAACCCCAAGGGGCTTGCTATGTGAACCGGGAATACCTCACGTGAGGCAAATGAGAGAAGTGGGGTGAGGGAGGGGATTTGCTGACGCTCCAAGACGTGACCATTACCTGCGGGGATCACCTGGGTACTGAGTCTGCTTTGGAGGCTCTGCCGGGGCTTTGGCCGCCCAGATGAGGACAGGAGCCCTCAGCCCCCTGGGAGCTCAGCAGAGCCAAGAGTCTGAAGTTGGGAAGTTGGGAAGGGCCCTCCAGGGAACCTCTGGAGGCAAGGTACCCCAACCATGCGATGCCCTAACTGGCCACAGCCATCCCCTGCAAGGAGCCCAGGCCACCTCTGCTCTGGGACCCCCGGGCCTGCAGTGACAGGGGCCCTCCAACTCAGCGCCCTCTCAGTCTTGTCTCCCATCACTGGGTGCTCCGCCCGCCCACAGGTCCCTTCAGTGAACCACCGACTTCCACATGAGGAAGACAATATCAATAATTATACGGACCCAACCCCTACTCCATTCAGGTGTCTGCAGTGTCACCATCCCACCCCCCACCGCCTAGAGGTGGCAGAACGACTGCCCAGCTTTACAGACGAGAGGCTGAGCTGCGGGGAAGCGGAGGCCTTCCTTGCATTTGCGCCGCCTTCAGAGGTGCCGGGTGTCTGCTGCTGTCTCGCCCTGGGCCTGGCCCTTGGCTGTCATTGCTAATGTGAAGATGACACTTTGTGACATTGCGGGCCACACCAAAGCCCACAGCAATAACCTCGAATCATCAAGAAAAGGGCACATTGGGTTTAACCTTCAAATGGTTAAAATGGAGGAGAAGGCTGGGTGGCTCAGAGTTCCCAGCAGCCTGGGTGAGAGCTGTGGTTTCACGGTCCGAGACACAGCAGAGCCGAGCTGTGGAGACGCTTCTGATCCCGCCCCACCTGCTTCACCCAGTCTCGAGTTTTCTCACCTAACAGCCCCTCGCTCCCTCGGGGCCGCGGGGAGCCCCCAGACTCCTGGGTGTCAGTTCTCCCTAACGGGACGCAGGGCTGGAAGCCCCCGGTGTGGCAGCCGGGGGGCACGGGGCCTCACCAGCACCTGTGTGGCCGTGTTGGTCACTTCAGGTGCCACAGCGAGGGGTGGCTTGCACCCCAGTGAGGACAGAAAACCAGCCAAGCCAGCTGCTGGCCGTGCTGTCCGAGGGCCTTGGAGCCTGAGGCCTCAGGTGGGACCAGCTGCCGTGCCCCGCCCTTCCCATCTGTCAGCCGTGTGACTATGGACAAGTCACAGAATCCCTCCGAGCCTCAGTCCCTGTTCTATAAAACACGGCAACGAGAGTCCTCTCCTTGTCCATTCAAGTAAAGTACCTGGCACCAGGCCCGGGTCCGCAAGCCGCCGTCGTTATTCCCATTTGACACTTCGGCTCCTCTCCAGAGCGAGGGCTGCCCCACCTGTGCCTGCGTGAGTGTGTGCTTTCCGAGCACCCATGCTGGCTTCCGCCCACAGATGCCCCACAGATGGTGACACCCGGCGACACGTGCTCTCCTTTCCTACTGCCCCTCCAGGAGGTAGACCCCAGCTGGTAGGTCTGGCCCCATTTCCCCAGGGAGCAAGGAAGGTGGGCAGAAGCACTGGGGAACCCAGGGTTCTGCCCCAAAATGCAAGGCCCCAGTAGGGGCTGACGAGGGAACTTCCTGGCTCCCAGGGGCCCAGCAGAGGTGCTGGGCAGGGGCAAGGAGCGAGGACAGCCACCTCCTTGTACTGAGGTCTGGGCTGGGTATCTGGAGACCTGGGTTCAATTCCTGCTTCCGGAGCTACGTGACTTGAGCCAGTTACCCAGCTTCTCTGAGCCTCAGTTTCTTAGGAGTAGCTGAGAATGAAGGCACCTAACTGGAAGGCTGGCTGTGGCTGTCTTTACCCTAATTTGCCACATGAGATGAAGGACTGGCCTGCACTGGCTATTTGGCAACGAGTGGTGGGGACTAAATTGGGGTCCAAGGTGCAACGATCCTTCTTGCTCCAGCTCTACAGGTAGCAGCTCGTCCAAGGTCACACAGGATATGCACATCGTTACCTTCCTCGGTCATTGGCTCCTACCTGGGACCCTTGGGTTTTACTTTTGCCTGAGGTGAAATCCTCCCAGGGAGCCTTGAGCAGAGAAGGACTTGGTACCTGAAAGGGTTTTCTCACCTCGGGATGGTACTCCTAAGGACACAGGAAAAGATGCGTCTCCTGTTCTCACTGACAGATGCATGCGGGACTGGGAGCAGATCCACAAAAATACCAGCGTGGTGAGCTGCCCACTGATGGGCTGTCCAGGAGAAGTCCCCATTTCCGGAGGTGTGTGAGCCAGTGCTAAGTAAGCAACATTGGATAGAAAGTTGGCCTTGGTGGCGTTTAAATAAAGCTACCTTTCACATGGTGGCCAGACAAATCCCACCCTGCTCAGTTCCAACTCCTTCTCCTCCAGATCAAGCTCGGACTGCCGAACTTGGCCTTCGAGGCCTCAGTCATCCTCTGTTCTCCTCTGCCTCCCATCCGGACTGGGAGCTCCTCGAAGGTAAGCAAGCCCTGGGCGTATTTATTCACCAGTTTTCTGGGACTCACCAGGGAGAGGATCATGGTTCCTGAGCAAGGACCCTATACCGTGACTTTATACACATTGTTGCATTTTATCTTCACAGCCAGCCAGGACCTCAGGTGCTATTATTAGCGCCCCTTTGCAGATCAGCAAATTGAGGTCAGAAAGATCAGGCAACCTGAAAAAAGCCGCGCAGCCACGTGACTGCTGAAGAAGTAAAGAGATGAAGGGAAGGGTGCTGAGCACGTGGGGTTCCCAGCGTGCAGCACCCCCCCACCCCCTGGTCCCCAGGGGCATCTGCAGCAGGTGAGCACACTTGGTTGCCCAACTGTGTCTAACTCTTGGGGAGCCCCATCTGGGCAGGCACAGAGTGAGGTGGAACCCCATGCACTAATTAACCACAACTTGTAGCCTTTAGGGGTGTGTGGGGAGGCAGGCCACCCTCCCCAGCCTGCCATGGCCCCAGCCCTGCCTACTCCAGCCCCAGCCAGTGCTGTGTGCCTGCCCAGCATTTGCTGCTTGGCAGCAGCTCAGCAAAGGGTGAAGCAGTGATCTGCTGGCGTAGGGGGATCAGTTTGGGTAGGAGCGCTGGGAACTGCCCGAATCCAACTCAGTCATGTTCTGCCCATGCTGGAGGGCTGCTGGCAATAACTTCCTGGACATTGGCCTCTTGGATAAGGATTTGGACAAGGAAGCCCGCAGGGTAGAGCAGAGGTTATCACCAATCACCGCCAAACACAGGGAGAAGTTACCCAACAACCACTGGGTGCAGGCCCCAGGCTGGGTCCACTAACACTTAGTTCTGGCACCAACCTTGAGAAGTAGCTACTCCCATCCCCACTTTACAGACAGGGAAACTGAGGTTCCCTCTCAGGGAAACTGAGAGGGAGTTGGGATGACCAGCTGGGACCTCCATGAGCACTGATCTTAAGCCTCAGGTGGCTGCTGAGAGGGAAGCAGAGGTCTGGACTCCCTGCCCACACTTGGCAACCTTCCCTACCCATGTCTTCATTGCAGCTTAGGCCCCTCCTTAGGGAAGTTTTTCCTGATTTCCTCCTGTGAGGCTAGGTTAGGCCCCAGGCCACCTGCTATCATAGCTTGTCTTCTCTGGGCTGACCCCTCTGCCCAGACCCATCCCCACAGTGAGCCAGAGAGGAGGAAGGAAAGACAGCAGCCACCTAGCATGCAGAAATTCCAGCTTCTAAGCCTAGCTTTACCTGGATTTACCACAGACTTTGGGTTGCGGCGTTCTCATCTGTAAAATGGGGCACCCCGTGCCCCTCCATCAGGGAAGAGAAACACGGTGGAAGAATTCCCTTCCGCCCCTAGAAGCAGGATCCCAAGGGCAGCTGTGACCCTCCTCCCCCAAGCACCCCATCCTGGAGTCCGCAGCCAGCAGGGCATAGTACCTGTGATTTGGTAGGGTCAAGGCATCTAGCAGAGAGGGTGGCTTTGGGGAAGATGTGCTTCATTCTCTGATGTGAAAGACAGTAGTGCCACCACGCTGCTTTGCACAGCGCTTCGAAACAGCCCTATCAAAATGGTGCCTGGAGAGGGGCACTCAGATGGGCCTGGAATTAGCTTTAAGGACAAGTTAGGCTCAAATCCCTGCCTCTTATGGACTGTATGACTTTGAATATACCATTTAACTTTTCTGAGACTCATTATCCCCCAGTGCAAATGGGGATCTTACCAATCTCAGACCACTGGTTTTTATTAAATTTGATGTCAGTTTCTTAATCTGAAACCTGGAAACTTGGTGGTACCATTTCACATTTCATTGGTACCCAGTGCTGCTTAAGGGTCAGTGACAGGTCTGGATACCAGAGCACATCCAGAGGGGAAGTGACTTGCCTGGACTGTCCAGAGGAGATTGTGGCGGTGTGGGGAACCCCCTCGGTGGCAGTCCCAGGGTGAGTGAAGGGCCTTTTCCTTCCGCGTTCAAACCCGCGGTCACTTCTGTTTGCGCAATGCCCCCCCACCCCGCTCCCCGCCCCGTCCCCCGCCCCCAACACAACCATTCTAAGAGCAGCGGCGCCAGCAGCGGGAAAATAGGGGCCAGGCCGGATTTCCTCTGCGGACTTGCGGCTCCTAGAGCCACCCGCCCCTCCGGACTCCGAGGGGCCGCGAACTGCACGTGCGGCTGCCCGGGGCCCGGCCTCCCTCCCACTGGGCTTCCTCAGCGACCCATCGCCCTCCGGCCCTTTCATCTGCCCCCCTACAACTCGCCCCTTCCCAGTCGCTGTTTCAGCGTAAAGCAGATGCTTTGCTCCCTCGTGGGTTCCGGATAAACCGAGTCCTGATGGGGAGCGTCGGCCGGCGCTAGGACCCCGCGGCTTGGCCGAGGGGGGGCGTGGTGGGGCAGGAGAGGTATTTAAATTGGAGCTCGAGCCGCCCCTTCGCGGGTCGGGCTCCCGTGGGGCAGTGGAGCGACCGTGCGCCTCCTCGGGCCGTGACCCCGGGGTCTGGCGCGGGGTGGGACCGTGGGGCAGGTTTGCGCAAAATGTGCAGTGGCTGCCCTGGAGAGGAGCGGCGGCCGCGCTGAGCCAGGTAGGAGCCGCCCAGCGGCGTGGCTGGCCAGCCCTCTAGGGAACCGGCTGTCCCGAGCCCCTCTAGAGCAGAAGGGTGGAGCTGGACTGGGGCCCGTCCATCGGGATGCCTATCCCCCCTCCTGCCGCCGCCCCCACCCCGCAAGTGGACCCAGGATTGACCCTCCTTCTGCCCCAAAGGTCTCCCAGGCTCCTGTCTCAACTGATCTTTCCCGTGAAATAAATGGGTTGGCACTCCCATTTCACAGATGGGAAAATAAGGGCAGAAAGGCCAGCACTTGGCTGGAACACAGAGCTAGCCAAAGGCAAACCAGGATTTGAATACAGGTCTCCTACCATCCTTTGACCCAGCCGGGCATGGGGCTTTCCATCCCACCCCACCAGACAGCCTGCCCACCTGGTGGGGCCCCCCATCTCTCTCCAAGGGGCTCCCAAGCCAGCCTTCTTCATGGGTGGTAAGATGTGAGGGACCCCCCACCAACCCCCACCCCCCGGGCTGCCTGAAATTCCACCATCACAGCCACATTCCTTTGGGTTAAGGTCTAATTCCCCCGTGGGATGCACATGTCTGCCCTTAGTGATTCACTGCAGCGCAGGGGCGTCCACAGCAGCTCTCCCAGGGCCCCACTCTGTGGGTGATCCTGGCTGAGAGGAGGGGGAAGCACCCCAAACCCAGCACTGTGAGTCTGTCAGCTGGTGGATATTGGGTGGGGCTTTCTTCAGAGAGGGCTAGAGGGGAGGTTGTGGCCTGGGGCAGTGGGAATGTTTGCTCTGGAGGCAGGCAGACTGGATTCTGGTCCTGACTCTATGTACTGACTGTGTGGCTTTGGGTAGGTCACCTCTCTGAGCCTCATTTTACTCATGGGTGAATTGAGGACAGTTCTAAAAGGGTCAGGCAGTTCAGCCCCTGCTGGAGAAAACAGCATTTGGGTCATGTAGACCTGGGCTAAATCTCCAAACACTTAGGAGCTGGGTAAGTGCAGGGTAAGTCATTTCATCTTTCTAAGCCTCAGTTTTTCTCATCTGCAAAATGGAAATTATAGTGACTACGTTATTGGTTTATTGCGAGAACCAAGTGAGATAATGTAGGTCGGGTACTTAGAAGAGTGTCTAACATCCTTAAATAGTATGGATGGGCTTATTTATGATAGTAGGCATTGCCCCCCCATTTGCTCTGCCTCTCTGTCTGTCTCTGTCTGTCTGTCTCTCTCTCTCTCTCTCTCTCTCTCACACACACACACACACACACACACACACACACACACATTAGATATTTGACGGTTCTTTTCCCAGGCAGACTCCTATCTCTTGCCTCCTTTGCCTAGGCCTCTTATCTGCAGGCCTGAGGCCTCCATTCTCAGCATACCTCACCTGGGCTGTCCAGCCCTGCGAACAACGCCTGTTCCCAGCAAAAAAAGACGGTGCGCATCCGGGGCACCTTCACAGGCGCTCGGCCTGATTAGCGCAATGGCTGGGTGGCCAGCGGCAGAATGGGCACCAGGCTGCTTGCCCTACTGATGGGACACTGAGGCACATAGGGTTAAGGGACTGGCCCCAGAGAACAGGCTGGGGACAGCAGTAGAGTCTGGCTGTGAGCCTGGGTCTAAGAGACCCCAATCCTCCCTCTTGAGGGTGAGTTGCCCTCAGATTTGACACACTTTGTTTTGGGCACTGCTGATGGATGCCCACTGCTGAGAGGCCCCCTTCTGTCAGATGCCAGCGCAGAGCTCCACTGGGGCAGGGAAAGTCGCTGCCAGATGCCCTGATGCCCACCGTGGGGGTGGCATGGGGTTTGGCAGCAGAGGAGGGAACATGAGGGCCCCTTTGCACAGCGAAGCCTCGGGTCCTGCCGAGCCAGGCCCTCGCTTGTCTTCACCTTGAGCTTTCCGCTCAGCCCGCTTCGGCAGAGCTCCTACCCCTCACTCTGCTGTTCGTTCATTAGACCTGTGGTGAGCACCACTTCATAGACCCCTGTTCTCAGGGAATAAAAAATTAATTATCAGGAAATGATCAATGCGATGAAGACTATAAAGCCTGTGCGGGTCTGGGGAAGAGCGTTCCAGGTGGAGGAAGCAGGGCAGAGGTCTGAGGCAGGAACTCGCTTGCCCAGTTCGAGGGATGGCGAGGAGAGTGGCGAGTGCTGGAGCTGGGTGAGGGAAGGGCAGATGGGAGGGGAGTCAGCGAGGAGAGGCGGAAAGGAAAGCCTGGATTACTCGGGAGGTTTGTCAGCAGTGAGATTCGGGACTGGCTCTCTGGGTTAACCATGCCTCGCTGGCAGCTTTGTGTCGGACAGACTGCGGGGCGTCGGGTGGGAGCAGGGTGTCGCTGTGGTCTGGGCCCAGGGTCCTGGTGGCATCTCGGTCTGTGGCAACGATGGAGGAGGGAGGTGGGCAGATCTGGGGGTTGTTTGTCAGGGAGGACAGGCAGAAGCCGCTGACAGAAAAATGAGTGTGGCAGGGAGGTGAAGGGAGAGTTAAGGAGAGCAAGGGCTCTCACCCCTGTCACCGTGTCACCAAGACTCATGTCAATTCGCAGTGTCTCCCCTGCCTGCTCAGTGGTTGGCTCTGGGCCCCCAGGAGAGTGAGCGCCCTCTGCCCTAGGGGCACTTCCACGGGCTAAACCGTAGAGTGCCTGGGGCCCTGCCCACTGGAAGCCCTGGGGCTGTGGGAACCTGGAGGAAGAGCCAATACCTAGCCCAGACTTGGGGAACCAGGGAAGGCTTCTTGGAGGCAGGGGCATCTCAGCTGAGACCCAAAGGATGAGGAGGCATTCAGCACAAGAGAAGGGAGGAAGTGGAGGTTTGGGGCTGTGTACAGGGGCCCTGAGAACTTAAGGAGGCAGGAGGCTTCCCGCACCCAGACTGGGAGAGGGGACGGGGGAGACCGGAGTTGGGCAGAAGAGCTGGCCGGGCATGGTACACTCCCCAGGGCCTCTGAGGCCCCACTGAGGGGTTTCCACTCAATTCTGAGTTCACCAGCTTTCAGAGGCGGGTGATGTTCTGCTTTTTAAACAGCAGAACAAAATTTCCGGTGAAAGTCTGACCTGTAATGCAGGTGAGAAGACAGAGCAGCTGTGGGGGCGGAGGCCCACGGCCCAGGGGAGCCCAGGGGACCGGGTTTAGAAGACCACTGTTTGAGCACCGAAGGACCTCGGGCCAGCCACCTGGATTTAAAATTCATTGTAGAAACACTGGTGGGTTCCGGCAGAAAGGCCCAGCTCTCAAAGGTCCTATAGACACCTCTTCTTCTGAAGCACCCTCAGAGTCACCATTCAGCACCTGTGGGAGACCTTATGGCAGAGGGTGCGGGCACAGACCCAGCAGCCGGACTTGTGGGCTGTGAGACCTCGGATGTGTTTCTTAATCTCTCTGAGCTTCAGTTTCCTTGTCTGTACAATGGGAACGGTAATCACGGGCCACATCATTGAATGGCTGCGAGGATTAAAGGAGGTGATAATACATGAGGGGGGTGGAGGAGAGTGCCTGGCGCACAACAAGGGCCCTCTAAGTGGCACTTTCATAGCATGTGTCTCATCTGACCCTCAACAAAACTTGATGAAGTCAGCATTCACCTCAGAAAAGGAAACTGAGGCTCAGAGAGGTAAGGTGATATGCATACGGCCGCAGAGCAGGGAAGTGGAGGGGTGAGAGGGAACGGTCTGATAGAAGTAACTCTGAGAGTCCAGGGCTCTCAGAGGGCTTTATGTGTCCCTCCTTCTCAATGCTCTGCAGGTACCACGGCCACTTCTGTGCACTTATTTGTGTCCCCCGTTCCCAGCACAGAGCCTAATGTGGGGAGGCATTCATTAAAAGTGTGAATGAATGAATGAGTGAGTGAGTGAATGAAATTGATAGATTCGTCTGTGTATTCCTAGCACTTGACCCAGGTCTTCAGTGAGTGAGCCCCTAGCAGTTCTGGGAGTCCGTCCTGCTGAGGGCCTTCATGCTCCCCCTCCGCCTCACCCTGACTGCTCACAGAGACAAGGGCTGGTCTGGCAGGCCAGAGTGTCCCCCTGCCCTGGCACTGGCAGTGGCTTCAGTGAAAGTAAAGGGCCTGGCAGCCCGCTCCTGGGGAAGTTCACAGCCACATGCTGGGGGCTGGGGGCAGGGCAGAACTCCCCGTGGGGCTTCCTGTCCAGGCTCTGGGCCCAGGCTTCGAACAATGGCAGGGGCTTGAGAATCAGAAAATCAAAAGAAAATACGCAGAATAAAAGTCCAGGGTGGGAGGGGGGTTGAGGAATTCTTGTGGAGGGCAGAGGAGCTAGGATCGGGTGACCTGCTTGCAGCCGGGGTAGAAGTGGTGTTGGAGGCCCGGCTCCCTGCTCATCTTCCCCCAGTCGGCCCAGGGCTCCCTGTGAGCCCTTCTGCCTCCTGCTGCCACCCTCCAGGTGTCTTCCACCAGGTGGGGTCTTCAGAAACCCAACTCTGACCATGTCACCCACTGCTTAAAAACTCTTGCTGGGGCCCTGGCTTGTGTAGCTCAGTGGATTGAGTGCTGGCTGGTAAAGCAAAGGGTCACTGGTTCAATTCTCAGTGAGGGCACATGCCTGGTTATAGGCCAGGTCCCCAGTTGGGGTGCATAAGAGGCAACCACACATTGATGTTTCTCTCCCTTTGTTTCTCCTTCCCTTCCCTGCCCTCTGAATAAAATCTTAAAAAAAAAAATACCACACCAAAAAATTCTTGCTGGGGAAAGTGGCCTAACTCCTAACTAGCTCCTTGGCGTGGCCCTGGAGGGCCCTTTGTGACGGGGCTCTCCCACCCGCTTCACAAGGCGCCCCATTCACCCCACCTTATTCTCAAATGCAGCTGTGGTCTGGGGTTCCTGCGTGCAGGTGCAGGCAGGATGGGGGGCCTGGCAGTGGGAAGGAGCCTGAGGTTTTACAGTGTTCCCCATTCCTCCCTGCCCTATGCAGAGCCATGAGCCACCAGATCCTGTCACTCCTGGCCGCGCTGACCCTGGGGCTGACCCTGAGCATGGCTACCTCCCCACACGGAGACAAGGTGCCCTGTAAGACGGTAAGAAGCCCTGCCCAGGTGGGGTAAGCTCCACCCCCCCCATCTCCCAGCCCTGGGGGGTTCTACCATCCCAGCCCCAGAAACCAGAAGTTAGAGGAGTCAGAAGAGGAAAGGGAATGCACTTAAACCTTGCATTCGATTAGCACCTGCTAGAGTGTTTAAGTACCTTATTTACTATTAATCTTGGCAGGTAAGTACCATTATTTCCATTTTACAGAGTTGGAAGCCGAGGCCTAGAGAGGTGAGGTGACTTGCCCAAGGTCATTCACCTGGGACCAGAGGGGCCAATATCGGGCTCCGTTCCCCCAGACTGCTCTCACAGGGCAGTCGGTCCAGCTAGGTGATGCAGAATTTAGAGTAGTCAGCTGGGAGGGGCTCTTCTGGGTTGGGTCCCTCCTGGGGACAAATCCCCTTTCCTGACTGGGCTCCTTGACTTGGGCTCATGTGCCACATCTCTGCTGGGAGGTCTCTCACTCATTACTGCCCAGGTCCAATGCTGCCTCCTACAGGAAGCCCCTTCTGATCTCTTTGCTTCCTTTTCTGGGCTCCCACACCCCCAAACTCTCCTCCATGTCGATATCAAACTCACGGTGCAGTTGACAAATGGGCCCCATCTGTCTCACCTGTTAGACTGGGAACTTCTTGAGGGCGGGGGCCAGGTCTGATTCACTTTGTTCCTTCTTCCTGCCCCAGGCCAGGGGGACTAGCCCTGAAGTTACGGTCACCCTGCAGGGCACAGGGAAAAGGGAGCACCTCCGTCCGCCTGTGAGGCTGGGCAGTCACCCCAGGAGTTTGTGCTGGGGCAGGGACAGGCCCTCTGGCAGCTGAACTTGGACCTGGGACTGGAAGCTTCTGACACAGAATGGGCAGCTGCTCCAGGAGGCTGGATGTGCTGGCAGCCAGGGCCGGCAGCCCTTCCCCGGGGCTCAGTGTCCTGCTCCCCTCACCGCCCTTCTGGGACTCCCAGGACCCAGCACAACAGGCAGAGAAGGCCTCAGGCACCACCTAATGCAGCCCCACTCCAGCTGGGGAGACAGGCTCAGCGAAGTGAGGGGCCTGGGGCCACCCAACAGGAAGGGGAACTGGGCAAGCTTTGTAAGGGGAACTGGTGAGCTTTGGATTGGGGAAAAACGAGATAAAAGTACTTTGTGGACTACCATAGAAGGAATTGTGATGTTTTTTTAAAGGGTAGGAAACCAAAATTGCCACATGCCGAGGGCTTGCAAGGTGCCTGCACCACTTTGAGGGCTTTCTCTCCTCTTCTTCCACCCAGAACTCCTTCTTTCAGCCAAGGAAGCCAGGGCTGAGGAGGAGACATGGCCACCAGTTTCTTCAGACAGGAGGGAACAGAGCAGATTTCGAACCCAGCTCTCCAGAGCTGACGCTGTCCGGTGCCCGTGACTTTACCGCCCTGTCTCCCTTCTCTGCGTAGACGATAAAATGGAGCTGGGTGGCAAGTCCATTTCCCTCCAAAAAAAAGGAAAAAATATCTGGGTGGTGGCATCCTAGCGTCCCAGAGGGTGGGCAGAGGGTTGTCTAGGGAAGCTCTGAATTGGTGAAGGGCTTGTTCCTCCAAGCCTCCTTCCCGAGCACGTCGGCCTCGCTGGGGCTCCGGGCTCAGGCAGTGGTGGCGCTCTGGCTATGCAGAGCAGAGAACAGCCCGGGCCTGAGAGCCCCTCGCTGGACTGACCTGGAGAGCCGGGCGGCCCAGTGCAGCACTGCCTACCGTCAGCCTCCTCCGGGTCTCTGACAGGGGTTCTGGGCACCGGGGTTTCCAGAAAGCAAGACTTAGGCTCTGGGCTTAGCCAGCTTTGTGCCCTGACTCAACTCTCAGGGGCTGGCGGCCCAGGAAGCCTTTGAGTGTCCAGAGGTGAAACAGGGTGTGGGCTTGCCTATAGGATGGCATGTGATGCACAGGACAGTGCCCACCCCCTCCACAGTAAATGCCCAGGAGGTGCCTGGCTGGTGCTGTTTACTGTGCTGAAAGATTCAGCCTGGGTGCTCAACCAGCTGAGAGCCCAGTGGTCAGAACTTTGCGGGCACCAAAGGAACTTGCAATGGTAGTTTTGAGCCTCTGACTCTCTGATTTGGGGCAGCCACCCCCCACCAAGCCTCAGTTTCCTTAGGGGGTACAATGGGGTAAATATATCTTAGAAGATTAAATGAGGCAAGGGAGCTGTGCGTCAGCACAAGCCTGACGCACAGCTGGCGTTCCAGTTAGAGACAGTCACTGTGTTCGTGTCCCATTTGCTGTTCCTTCTTCCTCAGGATGGTCAGGAGCCAGGGCAGGACGCAGAGGCCACGCCTGGTGGCCCCAGCTGGCTGAGAGGCTGTGAGGGAGGAAGGGGCAAGGAGCTGGGCAGGACTGCCGAGGTGGCTGGGATAGGTTTCTGGTTTACGTGGGTGCTCAACTGCAGGGGTGTCCGGCCTCTGAGTAGGCTCATCACTGAGCTGCATGGAGAAGGAGGGGGCACACAGATGCCTGATGGGGGGTAGTCCGTTCTTCCCCAGCCTCACCTTGGAGATCTCAAGGGGAAGTGGGCAGCAGGGCCAGGAAGGGGGCCCCTAGGCTGGTGTTCCTGCCCTGCGGCTTAGCCACCAACCCACCGTGACCTCCCGCAGGTCACTATCATCTGTAAACTCGCTCTCCCCATCTGGGAATTGGGTGAGCCGGACCCGTTTTGCTCTAACAGTCTTTACTTTTAGTATGAATATATGGGTCATTCCTTTTAGAAAGGTGATTGAGTCAATCCCTGACACCTTTACTAAGCTGATGATGTCTGTGACTCTTTCATTCATGAAAAAAATTTTCTGAGCACCTCCTGTGGGCCAGGTCCGAGGCATCTGCATCAGTCACACCAGTCCCCATTTGCTCTGAGCTCACTGTCCAGAGGTCCCCACACAGACAGCCACAGTGCAGGGGCCAAAGCTATGAGAGAGGAAGCACAGAGGCTGTGAGAGCCCAGAGGAAGTCCCAACCTCACCCGCAGTCAGGGAAAGCTTCCTGGTAGAGGAGACCCCTGGAGCTCAGCATGCAGAATTCATCATGCAGTTCTGGTTGGGAAGGGCATAACCAGCCCAGGGAACAGCAAGGAGGAGGCCTAGAGGTGGGGCTGGGAGGGCACAGTGGGCAGTGGGCAGCTATGGTCACTGTGGGTGGGCCGGGCCAGAGTGGGTTGGGAGGAGAGAGGACAGTTCACCAGAGGCTCCAAACAGCTTTGAACCCTGCAGAGAGTCCTGGGGTTTGTCCTGGAGGGATTAAATAGAGGGCTGCACTGTCAGAGTGGAATTTTTGAGCAGTCGCCAGGCATTTGATTGGAGGATTGGTCAGAAGGGGTGAGTGCAGACAGGGGCTGAGGGAGGAGTGGCCCCAAGTGGGGTGGCAGTAGAAGTCAGACCAGCAGAGCAAGGCTGGTTCCCGGTGTGCTAGAAAGGACGAGAGGAAGGCTGCATCTACACAGAAAGAATTCTGGCCCCACAAGGCACATGGGATAGAAGGACAAAGGTGGGGCATTTAGTTACTAAGAGACCTGGGTTCAAAACTCAGGTCCTTTCCTCACCAGCTGGGTGCTGTTAGAACCCCCCTTACCTTCTCTGAGCTTGAGTTTCTTAAATGGGTGTGACCATATTGATGGGCAGGCTGTTGTGAAGATCCAATGAGACGACGCTGAGTAGGTGCTGGGGAAGGGTGAGTTATGTTCTGGATAAGAAACCAGAGTGATAACGTGACTTGATGAGGTTCACACAGCAAAATCACAGCTTTGTCATTAATGAATGTGGGTTGGTACCCTGGCCATCTTCCCCCTGCCCCTTACCCTGACCCCATGTCCAGGGGCAGGTACGGACTAGTCCATGGGAAGCGAAGCCACTGGCAGGCGGAGAGGGTGGGTAGCAGCAGCATGAAGGAGGAAACGCCTGGGGAGTGTTGCTGAGGAAGCAGGCTCGGGGCCCGGGGCTGTGCCCCATGGAATGAGGGCTTGAATGAGATCTGAGGGTGAGAAGCCAAAATGCATGACAAGAGCACAAATGGCATTTTTCCCTTTTGGAAACATATCGCCCGAGTGGGTTGATGCAGTGTGACACCAGCGGGGTAAATGTGACTGCCCGGGCCCATGGAGGGAGCTCAGGATGTGCGACCAGGAGGCCCGGGGCCCAGCGTGGCTCTGTTCCTCCCCGGCTCTGGGTCACTCTCAATGAAAAATGGGATAATAATCAGCACAGGGTTTTTGTTTGTTCATTTGTCCTTCTAACTTTCTATCACCTCTCTGTCTGTCTACCCATCAAACTTCCTTGGGTCTGTCCTTGATGCCCGGGCTGCACAGGATGCCAGAGGCAGGGGCAGGAACAGGAGGGTCAAGCCACCTTTCCCAGAGGCACGGGTCTGATTCAGCTCCTGCTACAACCACTAATGCCTGCTGCTCTCCTGCCGCCCCCTCCCCAGGTGAACAAGGAGGTCTTGTGCCAGTGCCGTGGCCTACTCCAGGTCCCCTCGGTGCTTCCGAGGGACATCGAGGCCCTCGACCTGTCTGGAAACCAGCTTCGGAGCATCCTGACCTTGCCCCTGGGCTACTACACGGCGCTTCGTCACCTGGACCTGAGCTCCAACGAGATCAGCTTCCTCCAGCCAGGTGTCTTCCAGGCCCTGTCCCACCTGGAGCACCTCAACCTGGCCCACAACCGCCTGGCACTGAGCACTGGGGGTCTGGGTTCCTTGCTGCACGTGAAGTCCCTGGACCTGTCTGGGAACAGCCTGTACAGCGGCCTGGTGGAGCGGCTGCTGGGGGAGGCGCCAGCCCTGCGCACCCTCACACTAGCGGAGAATAGCCTGACCCGCCTGACCCGCCAGACCTTCTGGGGCACACCTGCACTTGAGTGGCTGGACCTGCATAGCAACGTGCTGATGGACATTGAGGACGGCGCTTTCGAGGCCATGCCCCACCTGACCCACCTGAACCTCTCCAGGAACTCCCTCACCTGCATCTCCGACTTCAGCCTGCAGCAGCTGCGGGTGTTGGACCTCAGCTGCAACAGTATTGAGGCCTTTCAGATGGCCCCGGAGCCCCAGGCCGGGTACCAGCTCACCTGGCTGGACCTGCGGGAGAACAAACTGCTCCACCTCCCTGACTTGGCTGCACTCCCGAGACTTATCTACCTGAACGTGTCCAACAACCTCATCCGGCTCCCTGCGGGGCTGCCGCAGGGCAGCGAGGCCATCCACGCACCTTCTGAGGGCTGGTCAGCCTTGCCCCTCTCGAACCCCAGCTGGAATGCCAGCACCCACTCCCTGTCCCAGCTCCTGAATCTGGACTTGAGCTACAATGAGATTGAACTTGTCCCCGAGGGATTTCTTGGTCACCTGACCTCTCTGCGCTTCCTGAACCTCAGCCGGAACTGTTTACGGGCCTTTGAGGCCCGGCGTGCGGGCTCCCTGCCCTGCCTCACGCTCCTGGACATCAGCCACAATGCTCTGGAGACGCTGGAGCTGGGCACCAGAGCCCTGGGGTCTCTGCGGACGCTGCTCCTACAGGGCAACGCCCTGCGGGACCTGCCCTCATACACCTTTGCTGGTCTGGCCAGCTTACAGAGGCTCAACCTGCAGGGGAACCGGGTCAGCCCCTGTGGGGGGCTCGGTGGGCCTGAACCCTCAGGCTGTGTGGATTTCTCTGACATCTCCTCCCTCCGCATCCTAAATTTGGTGGACAACGAGATGGAGACGCTCTGGGCAGGCACCTTCCTCCACACACCACTTACTGAGCTAGACCTGTCTTCCAACCCTGGGCTGGATGTGGCCACAGGGGCCTTGGCGGGCCTGGAGGCCTCCTTGGAGGTCCTGGCCCTGCAGGGCAATGGACTGGAGGTCCTGCAGGTGGACTTGCCCTGCTTCAGCTGCCTCAAACGGCTCAATCTTGCCGAGAACCGCCTGAGCCGCCTGCCGGCCTGGACGCAGGCCGTGTCCCTGGAGGTGCTTGACCTGAGGAACAACAGCTTCAGCCTGCTGCCGAGCAGTGCCATGGGCGGCCTGGAGACCAGCCTCCGGCGCCTCTACCTGCAGGGGAATCCGCTCAGCTGCTGTGGCAATGGCTGGCTGGCGGCCCAGCTGCACCAGGGCCGCGTGGACATGGACGCATCCCAGGACCTGATCTGCCGCTTCAGCTCCCAGGAGGAGGTGTTCCTCAGCCACGTGCGTCCCGAGGATTGTGAGAAGGGGGGGCTCAAGAATGTCAACCTCATCATCATCCTCACCTTCGCACTGGTCTCTGCCATTGTCCTCATCATGCTGGCCACCTGTTGCTGTGTCCGCCAGCAGAAGTTCAGCCAACAGTACAAAGCCTAGAGAAGCTGGGCTGCAGATCACCTCAGCCGCGAGAGCCTTCCAGGTCAGCGAGGGAGCTGGAGGCACAGAAAAGGGTGAGGTCTGACCCAAGGTCACACAGTGGGCCAGGGTCCCAGAGCCCTGGACTCTGAACCCCAGCCCAGGGCTCCTTTCTCTGCCTTCTGCTGCATCGGTAGGTGAGCCACCTCCCGGACCACACATGTGGTCCAGCTGTAGAAGCTGGAAGCTGAGCGATACTGGGAGTGACAAAAAATGAGGTTCGCCTGTCGCATCAACAAATCTTTGCCGGAAGTCTGTTTTGTGCCACGCCCTGCTCTGGGCACTGGGGACACCGGTGAAGGAGACAATCCCTGTCCTCAAGCATCTCCCAGTCTGGGTGGGGAGGGTGTCGCAGAGCCGAGTCGTGACCACACAGAGTGCAGCCCAGTGCTCTGAGGCTCGGCAGCCGCCTGCCCCTGCCAGGCCAGGGCCTGGGCCAGGGAGGGGAAAGACCGAGAGGATCTGTCTGAGCTCTTTCCAAGCAGACGCTGTCACATCTGATAATGACTCAGCTTCTCTGGAGCATGAAGACGTTGCAACTGGAAGAGAACTGGAGCCACACGCGTGTGTCTTGGATCTGGCGCCACCAGGCAGGCTGTGGCGGCTCCAGCAGGTCGGGCCCAGAGGCTATCACCCTGGGCTCCGGCCCGCACTGGGGCCTTCTGTTCCCTGCTCTGGGCAGGCTCTTTCCGCATCCTCTCATTGCACGCACCGGCGGAATGCTGTCCTAGTCCCACTCCCTGCTGCATCCCAGCCCCGCCCTGCTTGGGGAGACAGGACTTAGAGCCTTAGGTCTCTGGTTCTGTTTTGTACCAGGCTTGGCAGCCGTAAGGAGCCCAAGCTTGCAGCTTCCTCTTTATGACAACCATCTGAGGTTGGCCTTTTTTCCCATTTTGTAAAAGTGGCTCCAAGTCTCTCTCAGGTGCCACCGTCATCAGGGTGCCCTCACTAAGAAACACCATCACTGAGGTTCAGACTGACATCATCCTGACTCCAGGGGCTGAGCTTTGGCACTGTGGGGGCTGCAGGCTGTCAGGTGGATAGGAAGCGGCCTCCGCTGCTGGGACAGGGCCTGGGGCCATCCTGTGCTATCCATCCCCACCCGCTCCTCTCCCTCCTCGCCCAGGCAGGCAGAGGGAAGCTGGGTGGCCACAAGCCCTCTCCTCCTCCTCTGCCTCAGTTTCCCTCATTCCCTCCCTTGCAGACTGATGTGGGTTCTCCTTTTTCTCTTCTTGCTCTTGCATTCCCTCATTCCCATTGTCCAATGAGCATGGCCGAGAGCGTAAGAGCACTGAGTCCCACCTCCCCAGTGTGCAGATAGGGAAACCGAGGCTTAGGAAGAGGAAGGGACTTGCTCAGAGATGCACACGTCAGTGGCAGAGCCTGTGGAAAACAGTAGATTCAGACGGCATTAGGGGTGTGTGGGGAGTGGGGGCGGGGGGCCTGGGTGGTTTCCTCTCTCAGCTGTCACATCACACGGTAACGTTGGCTCCAAACACTCTTTCTGGTCCTGATCGTGCAGGAATGTTCCAGTCTTAGGAAAATAGGTAAACCCCCTCCAGATCTAGCGCCTGCCCCTCATACCCATGCAGCCATGGGCTGTCCAGAAGAAAGGGGCCTTGGGATCAGCCCGGGACCCTGTGCTGTTGTCCCCACCTCCCACCTGCACTGGGCAAAGTGCGAGACAGTGAAAACTCCGCTCTCTCTGCCCCATTTTATAGATGAGAAAACTGAGGCCCAGAGAGGGTCAAGGACTCAGGGAGTTGATGGCAGAGCCAGGACTGGAACTTGGGGTCCTGGCCGCACCTGGGCCCCAGGGGCCTAAGGGCAGGCTGATCAGGGGACCCAGTCCTGGTTGGGACCGTGACCGCAGGTGCCTGCTGCACAGAACACTCCTTCGCCAGCGTGGGGGCAGGAGTGGGCCCTCCATGCCTGGTCTTCGGAAACACTACACAATGCTGCTCTCACCTCCCGGGGGCCAGGCCACAGCCCGGGCCTTGGGACCAGCTCTTCATACAACCCACCGGAATGTATTAAAGGATAATTTTGGAGAAATGGTGTGGCCTGCCAGCCTCCTCTTTGCTTCGGGTATTCGACACCATCGCGCCTACTTGAACCCTGCCCTCTTCTCCTCCCGTTGTGGTCTCTGAACCCCCGGAGCAGCCCTGGGGAGACAGGCTGGGACCTCTAGGCGGGAGGTGGCGGTTCTGGGTCATCTCCACCCTGGACCTCCGGGCCTCAGCCCCAGTTGCACCCCTTCCTGTTCAACAAACCCTGCTGCCCACCCCACCGCTGAGAGAACGGCGGCTGTCCACAGTTTCACTACTGGTCCTTTCTCCGAGCTGCCCCTTCTGCCCCTCCCTCGGGGGCCCCCCACCCCTCTTCTCCCATCTGCTCCCTTGCGGTCCTCTCTCCTCAGCCCTTCCTCTCCAGTTGCTGCTTCTTATACCTCAGCTGTGCTCAACTCGTGCCCATCTTAAAAATAGTGAAAGATCCTTAAACCGTCTCCCCTTCTCCTACTTCATAAATAAACTTCTCGATAAAGTACGCCCTCACTGGTGTGGCTCGGGGGGTGGGCGTTGTCCTACAAACAGAAAGGTCACATGCCTGCATTGCAGGCCAGGTCCCTAGTTGCAGGTGTGGGGTGTGAGGCAACCCATCAATGTTTCTCCCCCGTATCAACACTTCTCTCCCACTCTTTCTCCCTCCCTTCCCTTCCCTTCTCTAATAAATGAATGAATGAATAAAAATTTTAAATTTCTTGGTGAAGTAGCTTCCCCTCCCCCTCCTCCATTCTCAACTGACCTAGGCTACCTTCAGCCCCTCAGAGCCCCACACTGCCCTGACTAAGGTCACCAAGAGTGTCCTTTGCCAAATCAGTGAACTTTTCAGTGTCTGCCCCTTTGACCTCTCTGCTGCGGGGCGGGGGTTGCTCCTCACGCCTACCCTCCCCATCACCCGACCCTCCCCTTGTCGCACTCTCCGGCATCCAAGACCCACACCAGGTTTCCGCCTTCCTCTCGGGACACTGCTATTCAGGCTCTGCTGTGTGCTCATCTGCCTTGACCCACCACAATGGCGACTACCGGGACTCCTGTCCCAAACCCTCGTCCCTTGGCAATGAAATCGCCCTCATGGCCATAGCCACCCCATTGCTCTGATGATGCCTGCAGGTCTATCTCTAGCCCCAGCCCCTTCTGAACACTCAGCCCTGATACCCAGATACCCAAAAGCCTCCCAAGCTAGAGAACTAAAGACCCCCCCGGGGGCTGGAGAATTGAGAGTGAGCATCTGGGCTGCAGTTCAAGGTTGACCTTGGAAGAAGGGCCAGGAGGGTCCAGAAGAAGCACTCCTGGTTCCCGGAAGGGAGTTGGAGGGTGAGGGTGTGGGCTGTGAGGTCTGGGGGAAGGGACAAGGGCCTCCTCACTTGGGGTAGGGGCAGGCAGAGTCCAGAGGGCATGGGGTGGCTCTCCTCCGCCCCCCACTTTGTAGCCCCCTGTGCTTGTCTTCATGTGGCCCCACCTCCCCTCTCAGCTGCCTGACACACAGACACTGCCCCCTGTGCAGATGCCAACCTCCTCTCCCCAAGTGCCAGATTAATGATGCGCCTCCCCCTCCCAAGCATCTTGGAGGTTTCTCCAACCCAGCTTCTCCTCTGGTCTGTGACCTCTCACCTCCCAACTCCTGCTCCCAGCTCCTACCTCCAAAGGAACATTTTAAATGCCTATTTCATGGACGGGGCTGGGCAGTGAGAGAGCACGTGAATCAACACCCTAATGCACAGTAGGTGCCCAGTGAAGGCCTAAAGGCAGGCAGTAGCAGGGGCTGAGCTCAGTCCAGGGCTTTTCGGACCTCCCATCCAGCCAGGAGCCTGTCAGGCTCTGACCCCTTTTCCTGGCAAACAGGGGTGTTTGCTCATCTGGTCAAGACCCCCAGTGAGGCAGAAATTCCTGTTTTCAGCCAAACGTGGACATAGCTGCCAACTAGGTCATCAGGGCATCCGGCAAGTGCCAGGGAGAGGGGAGGCCCTCGTCGCAGGAGGCCCACAGTGCCAGGTCCCCAGGCCCATTTGACTCGGTGAGCTGCTCCTGCATTCCCGGAGGCACAGGGCCCGCAGGCGCCAGGCTCATAGGTCAGGTGGGAGGGGGTGGGCGGCACCCACGGCCCAAGGCTCCTGGCTTTCTCAGTCCCCTATGCTGGCACGCCCCTCAGGACCCGGGATCCACTGCCTGCTCCCTGTGCCCCTGTCCTGGAGGCAGCTCCGAGGCCAGGTGTCCGAGGCCCTCCAGCCTCACCTCTCTCTGGCCACCTCTCACCTGGCGTTCAGAGCTGACAACTGCTGAGCACTCTGGTCAGGCCCTGCTCTGAGCATTGGATGTATGTCATATGTGATTCTAATCACCTCTGAAGAGATATCTATTACTGTCTCCCTCATTTTAGGGAAACTGAGACTCGAGATCCCACAGCTGGAAAGTGTCAAAGCTCAGGCTGGTCCCACGCCAGAGCCAGCAAGCGCAACATTAGGCGGCCCTGCCTCCTGACCCTCCCCAACACCAGGCTCCCTCCCGCTTCCTCCACCTGAAACGTCTCACCCCCCACCCAGACTCCACATGCCGAACGCCTCCTTTTCCAACCACTGTCCGGAGGACCTCCTCTGGGGAGACTGCGCTGATTTCCCTCCTGCAGCTGCCCAAAGCCCAGGACTGCCCTGGGCCACAGCCATTGGGACATCTGCCTGACCTGCCACCAGGCAGGGAGCTCCTGGAAGTCCTACCAGTGTCCTTTCTGTGTCCTCAGGGCCCAAGAGCCAATGCAGAAAAGATTTCCTGAAAAGAAGGCCTTTGCTCTCCAAGACTTAAAACCTTGATTACGACCGGCCCTCAGACAGAGAATGGGGTGACAGCTTCTCAGTCAGACCCAGGTACACAGAGGGGATGTGGGGGTCAGGGTGTGCGCTGCCCAGAAGCGGCAGTGGCCAGGGGTGTGGCGAAGAAACAATCTTCTCTCACCTCCCTCTACTTCCCTCCAGTTTCTTCTTGCCTCTAAGACCCTGTCTTATCTTCCCTTTCCCTCCCCACACTCTCTTCTCCTTTCCTCCCTTGGTCTTCTCCCTCCCCTCCCCCACCTTACTGGAAGCAGTTGGGGCTGTGGTGGCTGGGAGCTGGGTCGGGTGGAGGGGAGGAGGCCCGAGCTGTTTATAGGAACTGGAGCAGCTCCATCCATCAGCTCTGTTTGGAGCTGGAGACCAAGCATAATAAATACCTTGGCTCCTCCCCAGCTGTGCTTTCCCTGAACTTGGCCACTCCAACTCCAAAGCTCTCTGGCCTGCTGGTTCTCAGGACCCAGCTCCCACTCCACCCGCCCAGCTCCCACCTCCCACCAAGCTGCCCTGGAGAGAGCCTTGCCTGTGGGATCAGAGACGTAGGCCTGAATCTAGGCTCTGCCACAGCTTTGCTTTGGGGGCAAAAGCAAGTCAAGCCACTTGTCTATGCCTCCAGTTCCCCATCCGTAAAATGGGGTCATAACCACTGCCCCCACGCACACAGCAGTCAGAATGGCTTGAACGTCCCCTATGTGCTGGGTCCTGGTGGGACCCCTGGGAACAGTCAGAGCCTCTGCCTACGGGTGGAGGGAGGGCCCACACCGCAGCACAGGCAGGAAGTGGTCAGGCTGTGAGGGAGGTCCAGATTTTGTCCTCAGGATTTGTTTGCAGCAGGGAGTGGCCCTTCCAGCTGGAGGAGTGAGGTGGACATCGAGGACATCTGGGCTTGGCCTGCAAGGAAGGGTAGGATTTCAGCATGTGAGGATGGGAAGAGGCTCTTCCAGACAGAGCAAATGCCTGAGCAAGTTGGGCAGTGGGAAGAGGCCATCCTGGGTGGGGCAGAGAGGGGTCTGCTTATGCCCAGCTTTGTCCTCTTTGGTCCTAGAGCACCTTCTGCTTTGACCTTCCTGCCTTCTGGGATTTCCTGTCCTTTTCTGGAGAGCCTGGACTCATCCCCCTCTCCCAAGCTGCGGATGCCTATTCCTGGAATTCTGCAGTCATGTCCCCACTCCCACCTCCTCCCAAGCAGCCACCCTAGAAAATGGAAGACTTAGGTCAGGGGAGAACCCACTTGGCAATAGCACATGTTTCTGGAATCAATAAGGAAATAAATGAATAAAGAAATGAATAAAAGAGTGAGTCAATGAAAAAAAGAATGAGTAAGCGAATTACTGAATTCAACCGAAATTCCTTAAGCCCCTGCTGCAAAGCGTGCTGGCTGCTGTGCACACAAGATCCCTCTGCTTGCAGAGCTGAGCTTACTGGGGGGAATAGGCATTCAACACAGAGACACACACACTCAGATAAAGACAGAGTGGCAGATTATGCTGAGGACCATGAAAGGAAATGATAGGAAGCCAGAA